CGTCAATGTAATAAGAAAAATACGAAAATTACTTTGCTAACCTGAGTAAAAAATAATTGACGCGATAAAATATATATTTACATTTTAGTCGCTCTATGACTTTTTATTTTGATTGGGGATTAATACTCATTTAATTTACTTATCAGACAGAACTCGATATTTTTGATTAAAAAGTACTCTGAACAGTCAACAGCAGTTCTGACTGGTCTTGACTTTGCAATTTTTATTTGATGAAAAAAAATATATAGATCAAAAAGATTCAACTAAATAAATAAAAATGTTTCTCCCTCTAAACGTTAATATTACGATTCCTGCTTAAATATATATTCATTTATCATCGATATATGTACGAATAATTATAATTAAACATCAGAATTATCACTATTTATTGAATTCAATTAATTTGTTAGTGTTGAGAGACTCTACGAAATATGTAAACACGATTATTTGATAATCAAAGAACTTAATCGTTCATGAAAAAGTGCCTAATTAATTACGACGAACAGTAACGGGGCAAGCACGACGCGCGCATACACCGGCATTCTTGCACGTTAAACCGTCCCGTATACCGCACCATTAATATTTATAACAGCTTTATCATCAAACTTCATCATCGTTTGCCCATTGGGGATCTAAATGCGTCGCCGTTGCAAAGAGAAATCCTAAAACAGCATCCCTGTCCGCCCCGTAGTTCGCGTCGCCGCCACCACTGGCCGATAGGCAAGAGAAGCACAGACAGGCCAGGGGTGCAGGAACGAGCGGGGTCGACCCTGCGCGCAGCCTCCCCAGTCCACCCCGAAGATTCAGTCGTCGTGCGACAGAGGAGGGCCGAGGAGCGCCCGGTCGAAGCGTCGACGAGGTCCTCTCTCCACTCTCTTCGTCTCCTGTTTCCGCACGCGTATCTCTTTTTATCCATCTCGCGTTCTCTCTGTCTGGACCAAAAACTGAAAGCGACCGACTCCCCCTCTGTCTCTTTTTCTCTCTTTCTCTCTCTCTGTCTCTCTCTCCTTCCCTCTTTCTCTCTCTCCTTCATCTCCCTCCGCGAGTCGCGAGTGAAAACGAGCCGGGCAGCGCCGCGCCGACCTTCACCATTTTGGTACACGCAGCACGCGCGACGCACGTAAAGCTGTGTGCGTCCTCGCCGATCCTCGTCCGGCAAAGGGAAGCCGCGAGAGGAACTCGCCGAATTTTGTCGGAATGCGCGCGGGGTGGCCGATCCGCTGCGTGGATTCCGTGACGAAACGACAGCGATGCCGGTCTGGGGGTTGCTAGCCTCCCTCAACTCCGCCTCTCGTTCCTGTCACTCTATTCGTCTCGTTCGCTCTCTTTTTCCCTCTATCACGCAGCAAAGGGTGGGTGGTGATACGCCGGTGGCAGTAGCGGCAGTAGTGTGTGGATGCTTGAACTGGTGGGTGCTCTCTAGTGTGTGTAGTAGAGTAAGTAGTGGTTGCTGGTGTCGGTGGTGGCAGAGGTGGTGGTGGTGGTGGTGGTGGTGGTGGTTTAAATTTCAGCCGCGTGCACGGGTTCACCTACGTGAGCCATTATACGGGTCCTCGGCTTTCTCGCCGACTGGGAGGGTATACGAGCGGTCACGGTCCACGAACGCGAATTCTAGCCACCTTCGCTTACGTTACCCCTTTTCTCTTCGTCGTCGTCTACTCTATCCGAGGTGCTGACGCTCGACGTGCTTGCTCGATGCCGCTTGCTCACTCATCTCGACCGAAATTCGCGTGCACTCGATCTGTAGGTGTTGGTTGTTTGCGATACGTCGGTCGACCGTTGTATATGTAATGTGTGTGTTTGTGTGTGTGTGTGTGTGTGTTTGCGTGTGCGTGTGCGCGCGCGTGCTTTTTTGAAAGGATACATCGTATTACTGCTACGCTATTCTCGACGTTTCGTACTGATTACTGAGATAACGTAGCAGTCAGAGAGAGATGAGATAAAAAGTTATCCGCCTCGCGGCTACGAAACCCGCCGGTAAAATGTCAAAACGTATCGCAAACGTTCGTCTCGCGGATACGAAAATTAAGCCATTCTCGGAGATCAAAGTGGATAACTTGGAAGAATAATCCGGTCGAGACAAAATATTATTCTTTGGGATTGTTGAAATTATTAAAAAAACATACACGATACGAATTTTGATGACAAATGAATAAATCTTAATTTTAGCCAAACGTAAATCATATCTTGTTTTAAATTTAGAAATGGCATTTTTTTCAACCCAGGGTTTTGATGTATCGATTGTGTGTGGGCGATCACCGATCACTCATGCAATCAATCTCGAAGCTGTATCAGTTAAAAATATACGTGGCACGTCATTCGTTGATTGCTGATAAGAAAGTAGCGGTGTATCTGTATTTTTAATCGTAGGGAATTATTGGCATCAATAATTCTTAATAATCTCATGTCTCTAACGCAAACGTCTCTCTTTCTTCTCTATTATATTCCCCTTTATGCATGTACACAGAAGAGGGACGCTCTATTTTTTTTTTTCACGAAACTTTGCATGTGCACGCGGAATGACCACATATATACTCCGAAAACGCGTTAAGTATCTACATATACTTATATACGTGTTTCTATTGGACGGAAATATTGTATCACTGTGATGGCTTCCTCTCGCCGTAACCCTCTTTAACGCTGCGTAAAAACGGGAAGTATAGTAAAAACATCATCCGTTCTGCCGTGATAATCTAAAGCCAATTTAATTGGCCACCGACGCAGAGTGGAGAAGTTCTAGAAATCACTGACGTATCTTCCGATTATTTCACGTAAATCCGCCGTGAGATTAAATGGCTTTCTATATGCGAGTCCTATATATATATATCCGTGTATATATATATACACACATATATCTCCTTGATACATAGATATATACATATATGTTCAAATCGGTGGAGACGATGGTATCGCTTCCGTAAATTTCATCTGGACGCGCGACACTCCTTCTCGGCGACAATTAGACTCGGTAAAACCATTACCATCACACGCCGATTCCGTGCGTGGCCAACCGTAGGAACGAACGGTGAAAAAAAAAAAAGAAAAAACGCGATGTCGCACATATATATAGAGAGGAAGCTCGATCCGATAAAACGACACGGGTTCGGAGCGTGTATCTTTCGAATAAAGCGTACAACTCGCTATTTGGATGCGTTTCGCAAGAGCGAATTTCAGCGGGTTACCTTATAAACGAGCTTTCCAAGTCTCGTTCGGTGTGGTGGCTGGAAATAGGGGTTCCAATCGGCGAGGGTGGTTTGTTTTGCGCTGCGATTCGATGCCCGCCGAATAGAAACAACTGGCGTGCGCTTCTTTTCTTTTTTTTTTTGCCGCGATGTAGAGTGTTGCACCGAGACGATCGACGATGTAGAGGACGAAGAGGAGTGGGTAGAGGAGGCTGAGAGAGAAAGAAAGAGAGCGAAAAATATGGCCCGTGTGCATGTCGAGCGTGTCGGCTGCCTTTTTGCTCTCGTCTTGTACTTCTGGCTCTTTTTTCTTTTTTTTTTCCTGTCTCTCTATTTCATCGTCGTTCGCTACTCGAGGATCGTTGACCGTGTTGAATGTCGGTCACTGCAAATGAGATTCGCAGATGCCGAGACGCGGAGAAGTTCTCTTGAAACTGTCTGTCTCTCTCTCTCTCTCTTTCTATTTCTCGCGAGAAATTTCGAAGTAAACCAACGCCTGAACGAAAGAAGGGAGAATGCCAAGTTGCGGGTTGGCAGGGTCGTTTAAATGTTTAGATTTGTGGTGTGAAAGTCCCTCTTTTACTTTATGCGAAAAACTTCTTATCGTGCGGAAACTCGCGTTTGCGCATTTGTAATGCGAGTGGGTTTTCGCGCCGTAGAAAAATACCGTCTCCAGTTGTATCGCGAGCTCGAGCGGGAATTCAAGTGGTTTTAATTTCGACCACGGTAATTTTCGTGGTCGCGGGAACGAGAGTGGCGATGCCTCTCTCGCCTCCGACGAGAAATAATTATTTTAGACGGCGACCGCGCACACGACTCGACGTACACGAGATTCGTTTTCGTGTATGATTCGCGCACACACAGTTTATCAGTTGAAATTGAGCTTCTTTTTCGCTATGACTGTATCGACAGGATTATTAAGAATACGCTGCATTCGGCTCTCGCTCTATAAGCTAAATTATGAATATTCCCGAAACAGCTGCAGGGTATCTAAAATACAGCGGCAATGAGATTTACTTACAACGTATTGTTATAGAAATAATTTATTACTTATACATATATAATACTTAAAATCTGCAAGTGAATTAATTCCGATGTTACAACAGGCTCATAAATATTTTTGTAAAAAAATGCAGCGTCAATGAGATTTATTTATTTATCCATGTATCACTATAGAAATGATTTATTAATTATACACATATATTCAAAATGTGCAAGTGTATTAATTCCAGTGGCACAACAAACTCATAAATATTTTGGTATAAAAAATATTAGCTTTACGTTTATTGCTTTTTGTATCAGCTTCGCTGAGATTATAATATTTTCGAACAATAGTGTCACGCAGCACGCTGCTACTTTTTCATCCTGAAAATAATTCTACGCAAAAAATTTCGGTTCTCATAACCGCCCATGTATTAAAACAAATATAAAACGGTAAAATAATTGCTCACTATTTGCGTCATGAGAAAATTCCACACAAGGAAAGCTTCTCGCATCTAATTTTTATTATATCCTAAGAAATTCTAAACTACAGAGAAAATGAGAGAAGCAATATACACACACATTTAGAGTCCTCAAATTTGTGTTTTTGCATTAATAATAAAAATTTTTAATAGACGTCAAGCAATATTTTTCAAAAATTTATTAAAGCTTAATGTTTCATTCATTATTTTTTGTATATTTGGAATATATGGAAAATATAAAGAATAAACTGCTACTATCAATTCAAGATAATGCTTTATAAGATGTACATTAATTGTTTGTAATAACATATATTATATCCTATCAAATTTGTTTTTCAATGTAATAATACTTTTTAATTAAATGTCTTTCTCGTCACGCGCGCGCGCGCGCGCGCTTGAATGAAAACCTTTGAGGATGCATTGCACCTGCCTCACGGTGTTCAACACTTTGACCCGAGCTTTTTCGCGAGTGCGAGTTTTCTGCAGCGAGCGTGTACGTGCCCGAAAGCTCGAAGCGTAGCATCGACGGATACAGAGTACGGAGTTTTCGCACGAGAAATCTGCACGTTGCACGTGCGTTTTGCAGCTGTGCGCCGCTGTTCTTTCAGATTCGAATAAATCGGTGTGGTGGTGCAACATAACGCGAGAACGACCGAAGGAAATACGTGCGAAACGAGATGCCAGCTTTCGTAACGTTCGCGTCGCATCTTAGAAGATATATCACCACGCGAGGACTACGACGACTACGTTCGTTGGCGCGCTCATCAGTTTTACACTTTTCTACTAAATCGGCCCTTAACGTCCCCACGGGTGGCACCAATCTATGATCGATAAGCATCTGCGGAGGAGTGTCTCAATTCGAATGTCGCCATAGTGATTCGTTTGTCTCAATATCGAACATCGAACGTCCTGCGGAGGAGCGAGAGAGAAGAATTCCGCGATGTGCGTGACGGGGAAGACATACGAGCAAGAAATGGATGGGAAAAGTACGTTCGAATCTTAGCCAGCTCTTGCCCCGTAAATAGCGTTTTGTAACCCCCGTCACGTGAAATCGATATCCCTTAAGAGCCGGTCCGTGAGGTCGTTCGTCAGACCGGTGCTGCCTGTTTCGCCCCGCGAAAGTGGAAGAGTGGAGAGTGGGTGCCAGAGTGAGTCTGCGGGGAGCCTGCGGGAGGAGGCGGACAGGAACGAGGTTTGGCTGAATAAAAGAAGAGATGCATAGGAAAAGACCAGCGTTCCTCAACGACATGGGACTGCTAATGTTCTTAGCAGTAACAGCCTCTCTGCTGGGTTACTGCCAAACAGACGAAAAAGGTAAGACACAGCATCGCGATCCCTCTCTTGGCTCACCGTTTTACCCTCTTTCTCTCCTTTCCCGTCTTCGTCCCTCGCGCTATCCACCCCCGCCGCGGAGGTAACGTCGAAAGAAATACGGATTTTGCTTTCCGCATCGCCACTCGGACGGATGAGGGTAAAGGGACGCGAGGATAGCGCCATGCGCGAGAAAGAACGGCGAAGATTAACTTTTATGGCCGCCGGCATCAGTAGTTCCTGCGAATTTACTTATAGCGGGAGCGGTTTAATGGTCGTCGTGCACACACACACACACACACATCGCCAGGCGCTTTTAATAGTGCGAGAGACTGTGGCGCGCTACACCCGCCGCGGCATCCCTTCGTAAACACCCCCACACGAACGATTATATCGAGAGAAACGCGCGCAAGAGTACCTCGGTCTCTTTAACTCCTAATCCGCAAATAGCCACTGGAATAATCGAAAGCCATCATTTTTTGATGACTATAGTAATGGAAATTTATGTGTGTGAAAAATAGAAATTCGTTATATATAATATAAAATAATAAAACAAGGAAATGAAAGAGAAATCAGAGTTGTAAACGTTAAAGTTGTAATCGTTTATATAATAACTGCAGATATCCGCACAATCATTAAAAAAGTATGAAAACCGTCAAGCATTTTGGCCTACTTTGAATCAATATTTTTAATTGCTTAAAACAATTCAGAATCCATTGTTTTTTAATTGAAATTTTAATTAAAATTTTTATTCTTTGTTTAGAGCCATTGAAAAGGATCAGATTGTTTGGTAATCTTTGTACTCTTTTTTTTTAAATAGTTCGATACTTATAATTATTACACATAATTATGCATCTATAAGAGCGCTTTAGCTCCTATTTGCTCTTCTTTTATTATCGAAAAAAATTTGAGTGGATCCAGCTTTTTAATAATAGCAGATTGCAATATAACCATCAAACTCAATAACTCCTGATATTTTACAGTTACTTTAGAATTAACTCGCTGCTTTATTACTTCAAAGTTTTAAGCGTGTTATTAAATATTTGCATTATGTCCTTCGTTATACAAGCACGAGATATTGTGCATGAGAAATGTGTGAGCGGATTTATATGATTATATACTGGGGAGAGAGAAAGAGAAATATTATTCTGTAATTTTGCAAAATAAGTTGTCTGAATTTCTCTTCGATATTATCTATATCCCATACTATATAAAAATCTTAATAATGTAAACGGATTGTATTTTCGGAAAAAAAAAAAACAGAGAAGAAAACGTATAATATAATGTACTTGCAAATCTAAAATGGAAAATAAATTTTTTAATTATTTGTAATGTAGTATCCTACATTATACTTACGCGCGACGCGATAAAATCAAGCAAGCGGGAAGAATGAACGCGAGCGTTTTTGGAGTCGCTAATTAAATTTGCCCAATTTACAATAATCGAACGCGGAAATCACGTCGAAGTAATAACTTGCTACTAAATCATACATATCGGGAGTGCATTCGTGTAACGAATTATCGGCATATCCGTTATCGTAGTACAACGCTCGATGTATATATGGGCTTAGCGTTTCATCTGAATAAACCGGATAATCGAAATAGGTAAGCCCCGCGCCGTTACTTTTTCCCGAGTCATCTCTTTTCCGATGCTGTACCTTACCAGATCGATCTGAATTTAACAAGCGGTGAGATCGTGGTACTCGCGCGTACGGTGCAAGTTCAAACAGAAAATTGTTAACGTTCATGCATTGCAACGGTCTTCTCCAAAAAAAAATTCTGATGGCGCGTTCGTAACAATCAATACGTCGTGTCGCGTATCAATAAAATTCGTACGCTCGACGTATTCGCGTGTTAATACACATTGCGAATTCTCTTTCCGAAATTGTTGTCAGTTCTGCCATTGTTTATACGTATAGATGCAGTTTCAAAGCGATCAATTAAATTTGTCATGTTTCGTACATTTGTATATAATTAGGAGTAAAAACTGGATAAAATAATTCCGACATACACACACATTGAAATATAGTATATATATATATGATGTATAACAAGCGAAAAATACAACATCCCCGATGTTCGTTTAACGTTATTTGCGGTTGATCTCATGCAAAATTATACTTTCCCCAAGAGACATATACCGGAATATTCCGAAATAAAATGAGATATCTCTCTGCTACTCTAATCAGTTTTCCGTTTGTCGGATTAATCTGCATGGAGCGTGCGGGACTGTTGCGTCGCGTCGCACGTGGCGTATCGCACATTTGTTTTTACACACTCTGGCTATTCCGACTGGATACATATTTTCGCGGAAAACACATGCATCGGAGAAGAGAGAAAAATTCGCTGTTACGCGGTCGCTGTTATATCGTATCGCGTATTTTATGCGTGCCGGTCATATGTGCTTAATATTTCGCAAAGATATAATCGAAGGATATGTATTATAATTACGCGCTAAAATGTTTTTGCAATAATAAAAGAAATGCCAATGAGAAAATGTAAAAACAATTGTAGATACACACAATTATAGTTATAAGTAGTTACAGTAAATATTGCCGAAATTACATATAAAATATTTCGATTCTCTCAATATTTTCTTCACAATAATTTCTAAAAAAGGATCAATTACGTCAACGTCACTTAGAATCTCATTAAGTTATTAAATGTAAGATTTAATCGCACACGCAGCATCTCGTCATTTTGTTCATAGTTTTCATTTGCGTGATTATACACGCTTTTAATATGATACAAATAAAAGCAATCGTAATCCATCGATATCGATAGCTAATTCAGAGAGAAAAAGAGAGAGATCAGTTAGCACGATTGCCCTGCATAAATTATTATTCTTATTTTTGCGTGCAACTCTATATCCATCAAAAGAATTATCAGGAAATACTCGGCATAAAACTTTACGAGATTATTTTCATCTGCCGATCACATGGGGCCGCACCGACCATTATCACTGCACGTTAATGCACTGTATACTTTTTCTCGAACACCGTTGGCTAATTACGGTTATGTAATTACGAGAGAATCTCCACGCGTTCTCGTAAAGAAAAATAGAATTGTATAATACGCCTGAAATGCTCGTATCTCATAATACGATTCGGTTCTACTCTACGCGTTTATCCCGTATGCAGGTCAATCGGTGTATTCAGTGAAATTCAATACAATCGATCGATATACAATCAACGCGGAAAATGCGGAAAATTTGATCTGAAATATACCCGTAAAATTACGAGAGACTAGTGCAATAGTTAGTTAATTATTAGCGACACGGTCGAATAAATTAGTCTCTTGTTACGATTCAGCTATTAGTTATGTGGTATATATATCATAGACCAGAGAAAATATGTATGTTTTGACGACAACGCGATTAAATAGCGTTAGAAAATAAGCACAATTTTTCATTTCGGATAATTCGTCATCTAACAATAAGCAAGTATGCAAAATAATACTTCGACGTTGCGCCACAGATAAACTATTTTGGAAATGACACTACGTAATATACACTCTAAATATATACACATTCAACAAAAAAGGTTTTAAAGGTTTATTATTATTTAATTTTCAACTATAAAACACACACATGTCTCTTTGTGGCCGAAATTCATGGAATATTGCTGGTGGATATATTCGCATGATTAAACCGATCTCTTTTGCGTAACGATTCTGTTATTTTGTACTGTAAAAGCAAATCTCGATTTTTAGTAATTCTACAAAACAAATAACCTATCGGATAATAACGAAATACGTATTTTCGATATTCCCGTATACAGCCACCGAGAATAGTAATTATCGTAACGAATACGAATACGAATTGTATCAATATACAATGTATATATATATCCGGATACAATCGAAATAACAATCTATACATGGATAGATGTTAAACGTCTCAATCTCAAATATGTTCTATATAATCAGCACCTGAGAAGATAATATATGATAATCTCAAAAATTTAAATATTTTCATTCTAAAAAATTACATTTACATTTATATTATAAGTTTCAAGAGAAAGAGATTCTTCGATTTATCTATATTCTATAGCTTTTACATAATTATTTGAGTTTCCAATTCTTTGTTATTATAAATTTTAATTAGATCTATAAATTACAAACCTTATAAGCTGATGAATCTTTTTAAATAGAAGTCTGTTTGAAAAAATTAAAATATTGCTTACTGAATTTTCTAAAAGTAATATTCAATGTGACAAATGTTTAAAATTTATTAATAACAAGTTTTGAAAAAAATCAGATGTTTGGAAAAAAACTGCCGCTTTATTATTTAGTTTTGAGATCAATATTTTTGCAAATTAATTAGCACATGGGTGAGAGACATTTGAGGTTTTAAATACGCACTTGGTGAATCGCGTGGGAAAGTTGACGGGCATCAAAGCTTCCATATTAAGTCGGTCCTTTGAAACGTACGCAAATATTGCGATTCGTGGATAACGCAAATTGAGTAAGCCACGGTGCAATGAACTGAAAAACACCGAGGGCAATACGATCGATTCGCGGTCGACGTTAATGTTTCTATGCACTGGATAACCGGGAAGGAGAAGAGAGAGAGAGAGATTCTTCGTACTTAATGGTCCGTGCTTTTATTCCATGTACTTGAACGCGTTCTTAGATCAGTTACGGGAGTGGGAAATAAACCCTTGGTGTAACTTCGTTCATTTCTTTATACGTGTCTATAGACGGCGCGCCATAAGATACGAGATCTCCTCGTTGTTCGTTCGAGGCAGTTAAAGTCGGTCATTCAGCGGCTTAATCGAAACATCGATGTGTTCCTTTTACACTTGTGGTCGTTCACACAATGGTGAGGAACACGCTAATCGAGAATATTTTACGATCGTAATAGCTGAAATACGCCTCGAGGAGATCTATACGGAAACTTTGCAGACTCAACCGCGGATTCTTTATATATCACTTTTTATTCGGACCGCAAAAGCGATATTTGTAATCCTGCAAAACAATGTATAAGTCTGCAGAAACACCCGAGAGAGTCGGAGAACTTTGACGATTCATTCATCAACCTGCCGCCAGGTCCACTTCTGCCGCTTTTGTTAATGAAGTGGCTCGAGTGGGTTTCGCTATAATAAACTTCGAGAACTTCGAATCCATGGATAAATTTCGAAGTATCGTGATTAATAATTATCGTATGTCTTTATAATTTCTCTACGCTTTTTAATCGTTGTAACTATCCATTTTCATTCAGTAGCTAATTATTGAATATGTCGATTCAAAGTGACATTTTTTTATCTCTGCCTACGATTTAAAATTTAAACATATCAATAAACGGAAAACCCTTTGATTATTAAAGCGATTTTATTTGGAAATATCGGTCTTTTGTTTCTATACGATGACTGTTTTGACATATGCGAACGACAGTTGATGTGAATGCGGGAAAACAATTTTGCGCGCGCGCGAAAATAAAGCTTTTATTATTTTTATTAATATCACAAATAAACGTTATTTTTGACGTGACGCGTGTGGAATATTATAATTCATATTATTAATTAATATTAGTGATAGCGAATTATATATACATGAGAATTTATTATTGGGCGAGTTATGAAAACAGATGCAACAAATAAGAAATGCTTTATGATGTAAAATCATTATTGGCCAATTTAAGTCTAAGGCCAAGTCTAAGATTGTTTGTATTTTCTAATTTCTTTTATTACATTTTATATATTATAAGAAATAAAAAATAATTTTCTTTTTACTATATTGATTTTTATAATAGTAAGAGAATATTTGATTAGAATACTGAGGATGCATAGTTTGCATGGATTCTAACCGAATATTCTTTTATTATTATAGAAATCAATATAGTAAAAAAGAAATAATTTTTATCTTTAGAATTGTGTGTAGGTAAATGGAGTTAAGAAATTGTCGTGAATCTTACAAAATTTGCAAAATCGTACCAGTTTGTTGTCTATCTTCGCAGTCTCGTCGCGCGACTTATTTACCGCTGCTTACGGCGCGGTACGGTAAATATATGAAATTTCCTGAAGAAAGCCACTTTAGCTCGCAATTCAAAAGTTATCGGAGAAACAGATGAACGAAATAAAACTTCCCGAGTGACACTTAATTTCTCTTCCTCGGCACTGAAGAAAAATGAGATCTTATGCGCCGACTCTGCAACGTATTCACCTCATTTCTTATTTTACGCAAAAAAATAGGATGTTCGCGAGCGCGATGTTTAACGGTCACATTCCTTTTTTTAAAATTCATATTTTAATTATTATTATATTAGTCAGCGGAATACAAAATGCGAACCAACTGTAATAGGAAACCGCCTTCGTTGGTTATGAGAAAACTGTGCAATTTTCAGGACCGTAGAATTGTCGAGAGAGAAAGAGAGAGAACATTTACAACATTATGTAAATTAAAATGAAGGATTGCAACGTTAATAGCGCATTTTCCTGTCTCTCTCCCTCTCTCCCTCTCTCTCTCTTTTCATCTTTTTTCCTCCCTCCGGCAAATTGTCCGGTATATAATAATGCGCGCCATCGGTCTTCCACGTTGTACCATCTAAACGCATTAAATTTGTTAAACTTGCAGTGTCGTTTTACGGGGCGAGCTACATCCATCTTCCGGTTCAAGAGGCCAAGGGTGCTACTGACATCAGTTTCCGGTTCCGAACTCATCTCTCCGATGCTATGCTGCTATTGGCTGCTGGCAAGACGGATTACTGCCTGATCAAACTCGAAGCCGGCAGATTGAAGGTTCGTTTGCCCCCGGCGCTTACTTCTATTAATAGGCTTTCTGTTTGGTGCCGGTCGTCTCGTCGTTAACGGACCGCACGTGCTGCGATACGCCTGTCAGGCTTCTCTCTCTTCTCTCCCCATGTCCTTGTGGAGAAATTGGAGACGCGCCGTGACACGAAAAAAAAAAAAATGCAGATTCTCGCGTGCCCACAAATATTCCCCTTCGCGAGGTACCGCGAGAAAAAAAAGGAGAATTCACTCGCGCAGATGTAACACTCGCGTGCGTGTCCCCGCGGTTCTTATTACTTTGGAATTTTTATTTCTCAACGAAAAAGATGGCACGCGTCCAACGGCATACGGCGAAGAGTATTGCATCCAAGAAAAGAGATCCTAATCGGCAACGAATTTTGTGAGCTGCAGGGCAACGCGCGCGAATAATACGTAGAGATATTAATTATCAATCCACAATGTCGCGCATATTCTTATTTGTTTTATTCTTATTATCACGAAATAATTATTTATGAACATTCATCTTATATTAACTCTGGCTAATTTTAAGATACCATCTTTCAATAATAGTACATATTGATACAGTACATAATACAAATATTCATATTTTAATGTGAAGAATATCCGCGATTATTATTTAGTTAATATCTCCTTACTTCTTCTTTCAATTGATTTCTTGATTTGTTGGGAGGATATTATTTGCAAGAAGGAGAAATATCACTTATACTATTATTAAGAGGAAGGTAAGTACGTAAGAAGTGCAAGTTCTAGGTTAAAGCACAAGGGAAATGGAAGGGATAGAATAAAGGCAGTGATCTGTAAGATCGTTGCATATCAGTTAAGGGTTAATAAAAGAAGGTAGCAACGCAACAATAACAGCTTAAGGGTTAAGAATAGAATAATATCTTTATACCGTATAGCACCGAAATCGATAAGGCTACAAAGTAGTATAGCACTTCCAAAATTGTGTGTTCTTGTGCTATTAAAAAGTATTCTAAAAATTTCTATTAAAAATTTAAAATTAAAAGCGCGCGATACTTTATTTTGATATAAAAATCACGTGCATCATAGATGGAAACCTCATGTACAAAAAGGCCGAACATGTACTGGAGAGAAAAAAACCAATAAATTGATTCACAACGAGCGAGATACAACCAAACCAGCCACCAAAATCAATCGTAGGTAGATTTCGATATCGCCGAGTATCACATTTCAACTGATGGCAATTGCGCCTCAATCGTAGAGAGAATTAACCTGCCGCCACTTCTATTGTATCCAATCAGCCGATGAGTCGACGATCGTGGAGTTTCACGGTGAATTCGCACGCCCTTTTTTGCCTCTGCCGTCATAAAGAGAAAGATTTCACGGCGGTTGATAAGCGGTTCGACGTTCTCGTTAAAAGATCGACTTTCTATCTTTCTTTCGATAGCTTGATGACGCAGCGCGCGTCAACATCGATGGAGGTCGCTTTTACAACACGTCGAACAACAACGAGAACAAAACCGCGTAATGTCTTTTCCATCGACGTCTCGCGAAATGAAATTGTACGGTGATACCGCGCGATGGTGAAGTCAATTCTTTTTTTTTTACACACCCGTTTTTATCGCGCTTCGATACGATGATGTTCCGACCTGGAACGCCGCCCGTCGCGTCCTGATGCGCGTTCGTTTTTGCGCATCAGTCAGGATTTCACGCGCTCGGTCAAAACTGTCCGGACAAAGTCACTCGATCGAATTTTACGCAATAATGAACGTCGCGGTCCAAATGATGGGGCGAAAATTTTTTTCTTTTATCCGAACAATTGTGCTGGGATTTACGTGCAAACGGAGTAACGATAGACGTTCTCGTGATCCTTAAGCGCAAATAACTTCCATTAAAAATTTTTCTTAAAGAAATAATTTATTCGCTGAAAGCGTATCTCGCATTAATTTACACGCAGTAATTAAATGTACGATATACGCGTGATGCACGTGAAATGAGCGGAAAAGATTCGCTCTCGCGTTTGGTAGCCCAAATATCCGCGGGATGAAAGAAACGAGATGGAAAACAATTTATTATATCTCATACGTTATCTTCCGATGACATTTATACAGACATTTTTTACATTGTTGGCGTTGTAAGCTTGGAAACACATATATACACGTCGAGGATACATATTACATTATAACAAAATTCCATTTCATATCTGTTCTAGTATCAGAAATTGAAATTCAGATTGAATATACGCGGAATACGAATTTTCGTGATCGATATCTATGTTATTATGACAAGCGTCAAGACTGCCGGCGCTGGAGATGAACACGGCTGTGCTCTCGCGTATATGAAACATGTACAGAGTGGTACAGCAGCATGCCTATAAGCAAGTTTCATGGACCATAATGAGAAGAACGCTGACAGCGATAGAGCTAGCGTAGTAGCCACATCCTGTCTCTTGATAATAACCGCTGATGAGAGCAGCGCTGCTTCTAATTATGTACAAAGAACGTTGCGCGCTGCAACGAAGTTACAACTTCGCCGCAGATTATTAATTTTCCAACGATTAATATTCTCGCGCGTACTCTCATATTTTATATGACTCATTATCACACTCCCACCGACGAATGAAACGTGCTTAGCGCCCCAATTATCGCGGGCTGCAATTCGCGAGAATCTGACGCGCGGACCCGAATATTATTTTCCCGACAAGCGCAATTAGGGTAATCGGTTTTCACTATGGTCGTCACAATTATTCTAAAATCATTTCTTCGATAGACGGCGTCTCGCATTTCAATCACAAAATTTTCGTCAATCTTGGCTCCCATGTTTCTTCTTACGGTTTTCGTTCTCTCGAAAAATCTGGAGTCTTAACTGGTTGAGATAGAACCGTACGCGATACGTATCTCGATGCAGTATTAAAATATCCTCCACTCTGAGTGCATTAGCCGTGTGCAGGCACGGTATCATGGTTACGCGCATGAAACCCGGCGTGAAAACCGCGCGAATCTAATTTCGCGAAGGGTTAAGTCTGTGCAGCGCGAAGAACCTGCTTGCCGTCGGAGCTTAATTAAATTTGTTAAGAAGATCGTTAAGGAGGATGAAGACAGGATAAACGGCCGAGGCAAAAAGTGCAATGGCTGTTCTGAGGTCTCGTGTGCCTTCTCGAGACGGAGGAGTCTCGCACGACGCCTCCAGAAGCCTAAAAGCCCCTCTCTTTATCCAGCGATAATCCGGCGATTCAGAACTTAATTACGGCGATATATCGCGGTATCGCTCGCTTTCCAGCCGGCGATATAGCCGGGTTTCCGATCTCATGTAGTATTCAGGATTTGTAAAACTTTTCCTCTTTGCGTGTCTTGTCTCTTTCGTGAGTTTTTAATTAAATTTATTCGATACTGTTTATTGCAATTATCCTTAATTTAGCTTATTTTTCTTTTTTTTCCTTTGTTATCGCATATAAAATGTGAAAATTTTCGAAATTTAAATAAACATATTACAAATCTTTGTTAAAATAAAATGTGTTTAATAAGCTAAGAGAGCCGAGAAATGTAATGAGAATGAGATATTAAGAATTTGATAGTAGCGATAATATAATGGACTATAATGCCTTATAATTAGAGAAAACGTCGTATTGCACTTTCCCTCTGCGTGTAGAGGACTATAATCCTAGTAATTATGAAACATCGTTGCTAGCAAAGCGCGGCATTTTTCCTGACCCAAATAGATATTTCCTCGGCGTTACCTTATATTTAAACGGGGAGAGCAACGGGGATTATGAATATATCTAATTTAACAAACTAACGGAAAATGAAAGTGAGCGTTTCATTTCACCGACGATTGCATCTGAGCGCGAAACACAGTCGTTTATCTTGAGCCTTCGATAATCCGATGAATGAAATCTTAATTACTGTAGCGTATCACGATGTCGCTCACTTTTCAATACGCGGCACCATTCATCCGGGCGATTGACGTGAAAGGGAAATTTTCTGCGACATGTCGACATTTCGCAGTGATAATCGGATCGTTGCGTTCTCTATACATATCTCCCACTATTGTATCGCAATCTATTGTATCTAAACCTGTCTCGACGTCCCGCGGATAATCCGACGATTCGGGTACGCTTCAGCGGGGATGCATCGGCGGTTTCCGATATTCACTTTCCAATCGTCGATGCATTCCTAATGCGACCATTGCAGACTCTTCGACAATTGTGTGCGTATAGAAGCGCGTTTACATTCTTCAAAGTGTCGGCGTATATCGCGCGCTCTTATACATATTAATGAATCCTACATTTAGTTATCCGATATTGCTACGTTCGATTTTAAAAGAGACCTCTCTTTCTCTTTCTCTCTCTCTCTCTCTCTCTCTCTCTCTCTTTTTAAACGTAGTTTATTTCTCAACTTTAATTTTCTTAATTTATGTCTCTCGCTGCAATTCATAACCTTTTTTTCATATTTTATTATAATTTATAAATTGTTTCTTACTTACTTAGCGACGGATTCTGCTTCTTTTAATTATAGTAGACTTACCTGTAACAAAAAGAAATAGTAGCGGTTAGTAATAATAGTAGTAACTACGCTATCGCCAGCCCTCCTCTCTGTTCGCGAAAACTCGCGCCTTTATTACTGGGTCAACCGTAAAAACCGGCGATGCAGTGACTTGGACTGCGCCGCCACTGCGACTTTAGTCTCGGACGATCGACTTTTCATTAAGAGGAGGAGAACCGCAGCGGATGCTTCTCGATCTCTTACATAGGATCAACGAAGACGGCGCTCGAGGAACAGTAACTGTAGTAGGAATGCTATAAGTCTCGGACGTTCGATTCAGGACGCGATTAAAGCCTCTTTATCAGGAGCCTGCTACTTCACCTCTGGCTAAAGTGCATCGTGTACTATCTGGTAACTCGATAATGCATTACACCGCGTTGAAACATAAAGTTTAAGCGACGCGGCTATAGAAAACGTGCTGAGAATTATTTATCTACATCGCTGTCTTTATTCGTAAAAAAAAGTTATTTCCCGCAGCTATTTCAATTTATTATTTCTCTTCTTTTCTTAAATTTAAACTATTCGATATTTGTTTTTAATGAAATGTTCGATACAATAACAATCTCTCTCTCTCTCTCTCACTATAAATTTATAAAATAATTAAATTTTTCATAACTACAATAACTATGTATATTACGTAATTTCAATTTTTATTATGTCTTTTACATCTTCCTAGAATTTTATATCAAATTTTATATGAAAAAAAAAAATTTAATCTTAAGTATCAAATTCTATTCTGGAAATCTTAGACAGTATCTATCTGATGCTTGTTAACAAACAATTTATTATTAAAAAATATATATACTGTGTAATATTAACAATATAATTACACACATTTAGAAATCTACAAAGTTGGACGACAAATATAGAAAGCAGCAATCATACGGTTGATTTAGATGGTTTCTGTAAATGTAAATGTGCGCGGGGAAGGGGAGGGAGAGGAGTTTGAGTTTATTCTCCCGTGGGTGTGTATCGTAAATCCACTACGCGTAACTAGAAATCCCCGATGGTGCGATTATAAAGTAGTTGCAGTAACTGCTGTTGCGCGACATGTTTTGGGGAAATAACGATTCATATCTATATCCGTCTTTTGTGCGGTGCTTACGCATTACATGTAAACGTAGAATATAATTGCGAAGATCAGACAAAGATCCTGTCAGCGGCGCTGCTAAACTGCGGGCGAACCGTGTCGTATCTTTTTTCTCGTGGAAATTGATCAAATACAGGGACGACGAGCTATCGAAGATGTTCGACATTTATTTTCTGCGTGAGACCGAGAGCCGTTTTCACTGTCTGTCTAGCTGTCTGCCTTCTTCATTCTCTCGGTGTGCAAACTCATTGTGCGAGTGCTTCAAGTGCAGACGGAATACACGAAACCTCGAGCTGTCGGATTCCTGTCAGCTCACGCTGTCGGAGAATTTGCAGGGCATGACTGGCGCCAGACAACCTCGTGTACCAAGCTTGGTACACCTACTTTGCCAAACCTAGCTTTTTTGCGGATTTATATATGTTTCTCGATGCACACTCGAAAACGAAGAAAATGTGCATTTTCTCGAATTTCCAACAACTTGCTCGAGATAAAATTAAATATCCGTGTCATATAATCTATTCATGCCTGACGGTGCTAATAATTATAAAAATAACGACATGTTATTATCTTAAATATTTTGCTTTTAGAAATGTTGTTACTCCTTACGGACTTTAATTTCGTTTTAATTTATTTCTCTCTTCTGTGCGATATAATTATTTCACAAGGGGTAAAACTTTTTGATCGCACCGTCGAGAGACCGCAAAGAAGGTAAGCTACCTTACAGCGGGACGCTTCTTGCGACATTTGTGCGCAGTCGTCGCGGTTACTTCGTTCATTAAAGCTCCCAAAAATATTTGCGTATCTCTCTTTCTCTCTCTCTATTCATCGGTAAAAACTGCATGCGTTACCATAACATTTTTTTACTCTATTCGCGGCTTCGGCTAGCGCGGAAAGACATAAAACACGCATACCGAGTCTACGGAATCGGAAACCGAAACTTTATTTTGAAGAGAAGGACAACCGATCTATCGAAAAAAAGTGACTAAGGAAAAACAAAACAGAAATGCATTTGTACCGTGGATATGTATAAAACCCATTTGCGGTAGCGGCGCGTCTACAATAACTCCGATAAAAATGAGACTGACTTTTACGAGCGCCGCTCCTACTGCTTTTTGCCGCAGGTTCACATTAATCTGGGCGCGGGCGAGAACGAGATGGCGAGCGCCCGCGGATTGACACTGAACGACCTCAGTTGGCACGAGGTCAATTTGACGAGACGCGAGGCCAACATCAGCCTACAGATCGATGTCATACATACGACGAGGTCGCAACTACCGGGTCGCTTCTTCGAGTTGAACATACACTACGGCGTCTTCATCGGCGGACAGGGCGATTTCAACGAGCTATTTCTAGGTAAGATGGTAGGGCAGGCAAAGAAAAGGCAGACAGGGCTTGCTTTATCCGGATAAATTATCTCGCCACGTGACTGAACTAGATTCGATACGGCGCGCCAGCAAAAACCACATTTGTCGATGTTGCATCTGCGCCGCGGTCATGACGATATCTCTTTCTCTTCACCTCCTTTCGTTAAATGATCGCCGTTAAATCTCATCCAACTGCCGCGAGGACAATTGTGAGATTAGATAATCAAAAATCGCGTTTAATAAATATTTCGCGCACGTGCTCGAGTAAGTTTTCTGTGTCGTTAGAAATTTTAACGCAAAATATTTTCAAATCGTTTCACGTTTCATGTGCGTAAAAAAGATATTGATGAAGTTAAAATATGCAAGAGTAAATAACTTTAGGATAAACATATAAATAATAAAAGATGGAAATAATAAGATGGTTTTGATAAGCACTAATAAAAAGAAAAGACGATAATCAATAGTACACATTGTGCGCGTATAAAATAAATAACAATATTTAATAATTTAAAGGGCTATAAATTGAGTGTATTATTCACGTAATATTTGCATTGCATGATTAATTTATTAAATTAACACAAATGATTTGCAATAATTAAAATCTGTACATTGTATATTGTATACAGTGCGAATATTTGCATATATATCAAATTAATTATTTATATAATAAAACACAGGTGAAAAATGGCGCATACAATATCAGAATATTTATAAAACACCGATGAAAAATGGCTCTTATAATGATGCAAGATAAGTTTATAATGCAATCATGAAATCTTAATGAATTATCTCTTAGAATTGTGTTATACTCAAATCCACTTGCAACAATGATATTACAACGAAAACTATGTCAACCGATACACGACAATAACATCGTCGGAATGATGTTATTTCGGCAGGTACGGTTTCTATAATGGCAATCCCAGAAGATGGGATGAAGAGGAGATAGCGTAAATAAAAGATATGAAACGTCGTGTTTCTTATAAAAATCTCACCATAACTCTTTCGAGAATTGAAAGTTGTGGAGTGTAAGAAAATCAAAATATAAAAGATCTAGCGCCTTCGGATAAAAATTGTACTATAAATTCTATTATAAATGAGCAGAAACCTCGAAAGTTTTCTAAATTGATCATAATACTAAAGAAAAAACTTGTCGGAAATAATTCAATATTTATCAACGTTTGTTCCGTATTTTATAAAATTCTGTGACATTCCGCGATGTTACATTTAAAAACAATTTTTAATTAATCTTAAGCAACAATTTTCAACGAAGAAACTTGATATATTTCGTATATATTTTCTAGAAATATTAGAAATCTTTTCTATTTGAACTTTTCCTCGCTCTTCTGATGATTAAAGTTATTGGTGTTCTCTTTAAAGCAATCATATTAATGAAAGAAACGACGAACATAATTGTAAAATACTATTGATAAAGATAGAAATTACAAACTATATTACGCATTATAAATCGGTATTCATAGACAACCGATAGAGATTTAAATTATAATATTATAAGAAATTTTTAAAATTTTCTAAATTAATGAAAGCGAACATGAAAGCGGATTCATATAAATAAATCGTTAAAAATGCTGAAATGTGCATTTTTTGAATGATTGTTTGGAATAGTATTATTCGAACTATTATAGTACACTATAATAATGAAACAATTGTTTACCATCGTGTTGAATCGTGACAACCAGCGAAAACAGGTGATTACAATGGAACAGTTGCTGATATTATATCGAAAGTATGACACACGCGCCGTCTCGTGTTTCCGCGATGGCACGGCTTAAATAATGGAGTACCGGGAGCGCGCGTTGCGCAAAATCGCACGAACGAGAGAATGTAATTCAAACATTTGCCTTTGTTTTCGTTGTGTTAACGGTAACGTATAATGAGACTCGTCTCGTGCACCAGTAATGGTCGTAATTACTGTTCGAAATATCGCACGATCAGCATTTCATCAATGCCCGTGTAACTTTGCCCAATCGCGAAAATATATACGTCAATTTCGATCGATCGCGTTCATAATTTTGTTGCCGGTCCTAATTTAATTATTGCGTTCGCAATTCTATTTGGACCACGATTAAATTAAAAGTCGTGATACTACGTCTCTCGTGAAAAACGGCGATTGGAAAATTCTCCATCCACCTTTCGCAACTACAACGCTCGGTTGCATTACGCCTTTGTGGTAAAATTCCGGATTACCTTCTTCTATGCTTCAGAGTATACTCACTATACCACCGGTCATAGAATACTACGCGAGTTGGACGACAAAGGAAAGGCGGAGATATCTTTTCTATTTTCAATCCGTTGTGTAAAGTGCATACAAAAAAATCTTACACAAAGAAAAATCGTACTATTATTTTTTGAGTATTTCTGAAAACATGAGATAAAAGCGTGAAATAATATATTATAGTCAAAATAAATTAAAACATATTAAAGTACGCTAGAAAGTAATTTTGCTGGAGTATTTTGCAGAGGAATATGAAAATGTAAGAATCGCAGAAAATTTAAGAGTTTGTGAGGAATAAGAATTCACGAATTCAGAGGTGTAACCAGCATTTATAATGCTCGCAATCATAATTTTGGCATTGTGTTCACGATTTCCTCTCATTGCGTGTATATGTGTATATCTGCGCGCGTATATGGCTTGTTTAGAGTAAAACTTGGCTCTTATACTCGAACGACTACACTCTTCGTGTTCCATATGTGCCACAAACAGCTTGATAACGACTGGGCTCTTTAATACAGGTCTGGCGCATCAGCCGTAGCGGCCAGATAATCATTTCTCCAGAGTAAAACAAAAAAATTCAACCAAGTCGTTCCATTCGAATTGACGCGAACGAAATTGAATACGATCAGCGCAAACAGCATCATTCTTTTTCCTTCTCCATATCTCTCTCTCTCTCTCTCTCTCTCTCTCTGTGTTTTTCTTATTCTCCCTGTAGACGCGCCCCCATCGTTATCCCGTCGGCCGTCACGCATAATACTCGCCGACCAGCTCGAAATTCAATTTACATATTCATGACAATTCATTTGTACCCTGTGGCCCACTCCTTGGAGAAGGTCTTATTAATTCTCTGGCATGAGTCTCGCTAAATTCTCGAGTCAAGGAATAAAGAAAGAGAGACAACCCCTCCTGGTATTCGAAGGAGGGTGCAAAATTCATTTTACGGTACAGACTCTGTATAGGGTTGCAGAAGACCCGAAAATAGCATCAACTATTTGCAGAGTTATAGGATTCTTGAAGCAGTTTGCAATAGATTCCTCTGCAGAAGATTTAACTCTTTCCTTTCTGACTTCGAGCTTTTCAATGTACTAGAGATTAAATATCAAGATAAGTTTCTATCGAAATTAAATAAAACCACTTTATGTTAACAAAGAGATAACATTTCTAGTTGCTTAACTATTTTAAAATTAATTTCATATCTTCAACATTAAATATAAATACTAAATGCAAATTATTATTATTATATATATAATATATATATACAAAATTGTACAATGAAAGCATATACTTATATAATCGATTGCAAGATTCTCGGCGTGGGTTTTACTTATCCGCCGCCATTTGCTACTCTCTTCGTAGAAATATAGAAAATATTCTCGCCGCACAACGTATATTTGATAGTTGAGAAATCATTAAAAATATATATATTCCAATGTCGATATTAAGATCCTAATATCTATACAAGAGAGAGAAAATCTCTTTTTTTTTTATTATGTAAATATAAATTACAAATTTTTATAAAATCATACTATTTAAAAAATGATCTATTTTGTTATCGATTTTACAGTTTTTTTTTCAACATGATCTCTCTCTCTCTCTCTCTCTCTCTCTGTGTTTTTCTTATTCTCCCTGTAGACGCGCCCCCATCGTTATCCCGTCGGCCGTCACGCATAATACTCGCCGACCAGCTCGAAATTCAATTTACATATTCATGACAATTCATTTGTACCCTGTGGCCCACTCCTTGGAGAAGGTCTTATTAATTCTCTGGCATGAGTCTCGCTAAATTCTCGAGTCAAGGAATAAAGAAAGAGAGACAACCCCTCCTGGTATTCGAAGGAGGGTGCAAAATTCATTTTACGGTACAGACTCTGTATAGGGTTGCAGAAGACCCGAAAATAGCATCAACTATTTGCAGAGTTATAGGATTCTTGAAGCAGTTTGCAATAGATTCCTCTGCAGAAGATTTAACTCTTTCCTTTCTGACTTCGAGCTTTTCAATGTACTAGAGATTAAATATCAAGATAAGTTTCTATCGAAATTAAATAAAACCACTTTATGTTAACAAAGAGATAACATTTCTAGTTGCTTAACTATTTTAAAATTAATTTCATATCTTCAACATTAAATATAAATACTAAATGCAAATTATTATTATTATATATATAATATATATATACAAAATTGTACAATGAAAGCATATACTTATATAATCGATTGCAAGATTCTCGGCGTGGGTTTTACTTATCCGCCGCCATTTGCTACTCTCTTCGTAGAAATATAGAAAATATTCTCGCCGCACAACGTATATTTGATAGTTGAGAAATCATTAAAAATATATATATTCCAATGTCGATATTAAGATCCTAATATCTATACAAGAGAGAGAAAATCTCTTTTTTTTTTATTATGTAAATATAAATTACAAATTTTTATAAAATCATACTATTTAAAAAATGATCTATTTTGTTATCGATTTTACAGTTTTTTTTTCAACATGATTGTTAGTTCGTGAAATATTTTGGTTTATATCGCGCGAGAAATTCGCCTTTTTTCCTCGATTAAAATAATTTTTCTATCCGCTGCTTTTTTCCCATGTAGTATATAGAATGTATATGTTCTCATAAATATGAAATTCGTATTTTTTCTATTTTCCTACAGGGGTATCAATTTTTTATTAATATATCTATAATTAAACGTTTATCGAATGCCGTAATAAAAATATTTTAAATTAAGAGAACGGGAAAAAATTTAATAAAAAAAAAGAAAATTTCCATTTAGCGCACGATCCGATAAAACCAATGCTTGTTAAAGCCAACGTGGTTCATCAAAATAGACTGAAATATCATTGCCGTTACCCATGCAAATCTATCTTCCGAAAATCGTTATTTTGCCTCCGACGTGTGGCAGCATCCATGCTGGGCGAATCCATCGCCAGTGTTTAGAGACGCGTAAACCGCTGTCCTACAACGCGACGAGGGGAGAGGATGGAAGATTGGCCATGCGCCAAAACATCTTATCAATCAATAAAATTTTGCATTATGTAAAAAGCTAAAAAGGTCGACGACGGTGTTGCGAGACCACGATCGGTACGCCGCAACAACGTAGTAAACAGACTGGCTGGTTTATAGCATAACCGCCAGTATTCCGTCGCAAACTGTCTCCACGATTCCGTGGCGTGCCAATAAACGCTTGCTCTTGGCCGCTTATATACACGTATCCCGTCGGTTTCTGTCGCGTGCAGAGTGGCAGCGCCGTCTCAGCAGCCATTGACACGACACGCCGTAGCTCGAGGGTAATCCACCAACTTACCCGGAGATGCGCTCTCGTCACACACGAAGACAATTAACTTCGTGTTGCAGCGAAACCGCCCGCGGCGCGAAACCGCTGGTTTCGACGAATCTATTATGGATATCAAGTAGATCGCGCACACATTATATTATATATTACATATATAATTTATATATATAATTATATATATAATTATAATGTAACCACATTATATATATAATTTGCTTCTCCGCATGACAACGTTACGTTTCAGGAAATTTTAATTTCTCCATAAAATTGGATATTAAATGCTTTACACACTTCGACTCTGACAATCAAATAAAATCGGACAAGAAAATCTAGTCGACCTGTTTTCTTTCGTTACAATCTTTTCTCAATAAAAAAATTATTGAGATAAAAAATCGCTTATGCTTATGTGTGTTGATTGTATTATCTGGCGATTAATATTAAATATGCCACAATTGATCGTTTATAATCAATATATTTTAGTTTCACTAGTAGTAAACGATCCATCAATTATATAGAAGAATAAAAAGTAACATCCATATCTGTTGTTGTTTAAAAACTCATATTCATCTGGAATTGAAATCGCTCCTGGTTATATTTCTACCGTAACGTTTCAAGCGACACGAATCAATAATGACCTCATTAATATAATGTTTAATGGACACCACATACGAAGCTCTATCTATAAAACGCGCGAGCATATTTTGCAAATTTATTCAAATGCGAACGCATCCGAAATTCGGATCGCCATTACGCTTTTCTATCCCTTTTCATTGTCAATGTTATGTATCGAGGATAATCTGCGAGACTAAAATTTTTCGTCCGTCTGATTCGCAGGGCACACGGATTATCTGAGAGGATGCATGGCTGACATAATCTACAACGGCGCCAAAGTTATAGAATCCGCCAGGTCGAGGAGGGGCCAGTCGGAGGCAACAGCCGTAACGTGGGGTTGTTCACCGGAATTCGACGCCACGAGGAGCACGGAAGTCAGCTTCGTCGAGGACGGCGCCTTCGCCGCCATTCCGCGCCCCATTCCGCGCTCCGGTTCAAGGTATATACCAAAAGTACCGCTTTCCGTTGTAATGTATACGCTTCCATTTACCATCGCCGTGCACATTTACGAGACCGTGGAAAACGTAATTAAACTGTCACGACGAAAATCATATCATCTGCTTTATTTCGATAATGTTTATATCGATATAAGAAGGGGTGCGATATTCGTATCTCGTTAAACTATTACATCGAGCGCACTATTATTTAATTACTTTTATTATCATTGTTTATCATTTAGCTTTAAATTTGTTCAAAAATGATGCAAGTTGAAAAGAAATTTCATAGACATCATAAAACTCAACATTCGTGCAAGCTCGATTTATTTGTCTATTTTTTTTTTTTTTTTTTTTTTTTTTTTTTTTTTGCGAGACATATGTTCCAGTTTTACTCGACGACTCTATCGCGCACCATCGCGTGAAATAAATACGTTGGTTCACGAATCCAATATCTTATGGTAATGCCGCGGGAAATCCGTTTCACCGAGGTCGGCGGCGAGGTCGCATAACTCGCATTCCCCTGCTTGTATATCTACATCCACGCCGCATTCAAGCCATCGGTCAGAGAAGGCCTTTCATGTTACGCGATTCCTACCACTTTCATCTCTCGCGCAGCTTTTAACGAGCATTAAACCCGTGGGAGAGTTGTTAAATCGTCTCGAAAAGCTCGGAAACAACTGTTTCAATCGCGAGAGTTACGTTGTCGTAACTCTCGCAACGAGACAAGCAGCAACACTTTGTCAATAGAAACACTTTGATCTCTCTTTTCAATATAGAACAAGGACTTCGAGATGAGGACAGTCGATTGACTCGAAAGCTCATAATGATAAAGCTACTTAACGCGAATAGTCGTTTGTGGAATTAATACTATTCACGAAATACATAGAATCTTGGACTATCATTTTCACTATGAATATCGCAATGTATACAAACAGAGTGCTATTTTGTTAGATGATAAATTCATACAGCCCATATATAGAGTAATAATTTCATTATATATAAGCTCTGTTAACACAGAATGTATAATAATATTATATTATCAAATTTTAAACCACATATGTAAATGCATAATCCGGGAGGTTTTTATATTAATATTAAATAAAAGAAAATATGCACTATATTTGCTAGTGAGAGAAAGCTGACTTATAAATTATAACTGAAAATACATATGTACACAGCGTGTTTTTCAAAATGAGTTGAAAAGTTTTTAAGACACGTAAGCACGTCATTTTTATCTCTGAATGAATATATGCAAGCATGCATATTGCAAGTTTTCTACGAAAAGATTGCATGCATTACGATTTTGCGGATCTCCAGTATTTCTCGAAATATCTCAGAATAGAACCGCGATCTCTCCAAAGCTTTTGTTTCTATAAATTAAAAGCAACAGAGATGAAGAGCAGCGATGTTTATGTTAAAAAACGTACGTTCACCGTAAGATGCATTTCTAACAATATAGCAGAATATATTTCGCTTACAATTTATGTTTCTATCTTTTTTTTTAGAGGGGAGGGGGGAGGGGTATTAATCTTTCGCGCAAAAATGCAGATTCATTCCATGCTTCATTCGCGCGACTACTATACGAAAATGCCAAGCACGTCCGAGGAGACTAAAAACCTCGATGAGCCGAGTGTGTCTTCGCTACATTGTCTCCGCGAGAATTATTTAGAAGTGCACTAAGAAGCGGAAAAACGTTTCATTTTCACACGAATGCGGTGTGCATCGGGTAAGCGCGGTTAATACCGGTCTTCATATACAGGTGGTTAAGTCCTGGTTGCGCGCACGGTTTCACGTGTCTTGTGGGATCGCGGAAGCTCCGGACGTAAATACTCCGGCTCTTTTGTTGCCCCGAATTAAAAGCACACTACTTCCGGGTAGAGTACCTTAATTCAACACTTATCTGAGAAAATAAATGTTGGAACCTGTTGCGTTATACATGTATATAATCCGGCTAAAAGCTAGACAAAGAACTGGTCCGGTTTTTCACATTAAATGTTTGAGGAAAATTGCGATCTCTTTTTTCGCATGGCACAAGTATGTACGCACGATACTATGTCCCGTCGATAAACGGATAAGTAGATAGTCAGACGGAATCGAATAACTGTCTTCCTTTCCGCGTTCTACGTGAAGTCGATGGACCGTGAAGATTTCGACATATGCTCTTCGCGTTCAATTGATCTGAAAGATTCAAGTGCCACGTGTGTATAAGCATGGTTTGTACAGATATTCGAGTTATCTCTATTCAAACCGATAATTGCAATTTCCGTCCAACGTTTATCCGTTTCATCTGATTTATCGATTTTTTTATCAAAATTATAACGTGGAATTATTACATTTAGCGTAGATCAAGTTACATATAATATTTGTATACCATGTTGTTGTTTAATTTAAATCAATAAAGATTGAAATAGCCAAATGAAAAAGATTTCTTAAAAAATAGATTTCTCTTAATTTCAACCGCTGTAATTCTTTGAGCGTTTTATTTTCTTGAAAATCGATTGTAATTGTATGAAGAGCATTCGCAAACACACGGTACATTGCGCTTTCGAAACTGAAGCATTGACGAATGAGGAACGTAGAAACACAAACGGACCATACTAGAACATCCTTAGTGCATCTCCAACGTAAACAACTAATTGCGTTTACAATTCGTATAGGTACACGTTTGCTTACAACCGTTGCGAATTGTATTGGGTAGTAAGACACGTACTAACATATCGGGCATCTTCATTAATTCCGTTTAACAGAGTTAAACGATGACATAATTCCCGATAATTGTGATTCACGCAATTAAACTTGGCTCGGAACTTAATTATAATATGCGTGTGTCAAGAGACCTGCGGTAGCATCTCGTGCCAAATTTATATATTTTAACATTGCATATTAAACTTTTTACTATATCACTAGCGAAAAATGAAAAACATGCAGAAAATAAGGAAAGATTTGTGACAATCGTCGTGATATCAATGACAAAAAAATGAATATGTTGAGAATATTTTATGGTTAGAAAATATTGCTATAAAATATATTGATATTTATTATACAAGCTTTAGTATCTCGGTAGACATTGCTATTGTTATATTTTATACTATTATCGCATTCTGTTATATTATGATAAAAGTCTAGTCCGCATCTGTAACTGCTATTGTAGCACTTTGCTGTACTGTTATTTCAAAAGCAATGAATCCGCCCGCTGAAGTAAATAATCGGCTTTCGTGTTCGTAGCAGTCGTGGCGTCTTCGTGCACAAGATACGAAAATCACTCGTCCCAAAGTTTCCCGAGTAGAAGTCGACCGAGCGAAATTTGATTTGATTACAATTATAAATTCACGGCGAGCAATCTTCTCTTTTCTCTCTTCTACCATCGTTTGCATTGTTTCGTTCGTTTAACTTTAACTCGTGTTGCACGAATAATGTTTTGCCTACTTAATCGCGCTCTGCAATGAAATCTGAACATCGTACCGTTTAAGAAGCGATGATTAAACGGATAACAAAACATATAACTATCTTGTAGAAACAATATTTGTATAAAAATTTAAATGATCAAATTATCAACAAATTATCGAATTCTTATTACTGTTTTATTTTATATCCCTCAGATTCATAGAATTTTGCATATCTTGTTAAGATTTAGTTGCAACTCGATTACGGTTCGCTTTTCCAAAAGAAAGTCCGTTATCTCATTTCATAACGGAATGCTATAAATCGTTCGACTGCGTTACGCTCGACCAGTCGAGCGTTTTCGCGTTCGTAAAAGTTTCTCGTTCAGTATTTTTACTGCTTCGCTGCATCGATTGCAGCACTTGCGAATCGAAGAAATCAACCACGAAATTCTAATCTGATTACTAAGATACGCAATAGTATCGAAATTTTCCGCTATTCCACCGTCAACACTGTTTTAGTATCAACAGCATTACTCAGAAAGATATTCTCTCCACTAAAGCATCGTAAAATCGAACGACTCTGATTCGAACTCGGATATCGGATTCATCCGATACTTGTTTTTTTTCTACGGGATAGTAACGAAGTTTCCTGCCAATCCATTCTGACGATTCTTTGCAGATGGGAATTCGAGTTGAAGACTAATGCCGAGAGCGGCTTATTACTCTACAACACCGGACAATCGTCCCACGCCGATTTCCTCGGTATCGAGCTGTTCGAGGGTAAGATACGATTGCTGATGAACAAGGGAAACGGTCCAACCGAGCTAACACACGGCACCACGGTAGCTAATGGTAAATGGCATAACGTAATCGTGGATTTTAATCCGAGCGGCCTCGGTATCGCTGTCGATCATCACGAGAGAACCATGGCCCTGCCATCCGGCGGCAATCGTTTCCTCGATTTAGCCGACACCCTGTACATCGGCGGCACGGAACTGAATAAACGCGCCCGAGCCTTAACCAAGGGTCTCAGATCCGGCGATGTGAGCTACAAAGGCTGTATACGAAACATGATTCTCGACAACAAGGATCTCGGTTTACCGGACGTCAAGGTTAGTCAAGGTATCGTCGTGGGTTGCGTCTGGGGATACCCGTGCATTGAGGTCGATCCCTGCGTACCTGGTGCGTCGTGCATGCAGCTAGGCGTCAACTCATTCATGTGCAACTGCGACCAGTCGCTGTGCATCACACCAAATTACGAGGATTACAAGGTAGATCAACTTTAATCAAGTTTCAATGATGCTCCGCCCACTTGGCGAGGGTTACGTTGCGGTTACGAGTTAATTATATCACCGGCAACTAACGTATGGATATATGCGTGACTAACTTAGTCAAGATATTATATAGATTATCTTTTTAACGATTATTTTACTTATGTAATCAATATGTTAAGATGTTTAGCTCTATCCGTATAAACTTCATCGGAATATTTAATATTGAAGATTAAACGCACTAGATATTGCTAATATTTAGATAAGACTAATACTTGCATAAAATAAAAAGACGATATGACGTTTTTGCAGATCTATTCGAATACCACCCTGCCTGTAAACTTAGAAATTCTCTCGTTGAGCCCTCTACTAGTTTCCGAGGGGGAGCACGTGCTAGTAACGAATGAAAACATCGTGATGATACTGGATATTGCCAAATACGGTGTGGAAGAAACCGGCGTCGTTTTCACTTTAGTGACACCGCCAGTTTACGGAACATTGGCGTTAGACCTTTTAACATCCCGAAGCGATCACTCCTTTACATTGCAAGATATCAATCAAGCTAAGGTAATCAGCCAGCGATTAATTTATCAAATTCTCGAATTAACGTTAAACCGCGCTTAGAACTCCTCGGCTCGAATAGACGTAATTCCGGCGATGGCGACAATAGCCGCGATATTAGTGTCCACGTGTCGGTTACACGTGTGACGATAAAGCTCGAAATTGCCGAGGAGTTTGCGGGGACATGTGTAAGAGGCGAAACTCGGTCGGCGTGCACCTGACATTAATTAATATCAGGTGACTAAATGCGGCTTCGAGAGGCTGGCCGGCCGGTCGATCCCCATAGACCGTAGAAGGCGCCGTGGAAAGTCATGTGTTCTTCCAGTTCGTCATAGGACCACGCGCTGCTATACATAGCACACGCTGTAAGGACTAACTTTAGAATCGTTGGTGGCGGGAACACGGAGGGTCGGCCGACTTGTCGTGCACTCGCTCGCGCCTATACTCCTCCACTACTCCACACTCAATTTATCTAGCGACAGTGCCCTATTTATAAACTGCTCCGCCACTGCTCATTAATGGTTTTTTGTTAGAGATCATATATCGGCCGTTTTTTATCTACCGTCGCGCCCGTTCGCTCGCCGTTACTGCCAATTGCTTTCTAATCGTTAAAAGAAAAAGGGGGAGAAAAAGCTCGCATCTTCCCTCTGTCTCGACTCGGATCGACGCCGGGGACGACGCCCACTCGATATGCTAATCGACGACCATCGACTTAAACCCCGGTCGCTCTAATTAATTTCCACCGCGGTCGATCTCGAGTGTTAGATCAAACGCCAGAAAGGATAACACGAGTCGGGTGCTCCGATCTACTCGCCCATGATTAATTCTGATTCCATAGCATGACTTAGTGTGTGTTTGCCGCTCGAGGTTCTCGTGGAACGGCAAGCTATCGCAAGTTAAAGTCCACACGTTCCTCGTTGTAAGGTTGTCTCTTAATAATATCTACGATACATGGCAGATTACTGACACTCGCGCGATTTCTTTCGTATGCAAATTTACATTGCGGAACAATGCAAATGCAGAAAACGCAACTATTAACGCATCGTTTATTCCCTTTACGATTCAGAGAAATATCTACTAAGGAACATTCAATTAAAAGTTTAAAAGTTTTCTCTAAATTAATTTTTCTATGTATTATGAGAGAACCCCGCATTACGTTAGATAGGATGTTGATTGCATTATCCTTACGATAATTGACTTGCCCCGACAGATACAGTACATGCATGACGGTAGCGAAACCACAGAGGACAGCATGATTCTGGAATTGACATTGGTGGCTGGGACAGGCTATACACTCCCAGGATACCTCCAAGGACACCTCAGGTTCCCCCTTTACGTCAATGTCACTTCCGTCAACGACCCGCCGTTGTTCGAGATACCGACCGTGAAAGTACTGCGTCTGGCCCAAGTAAGGCATAAAAATAAACTGTATAAATTCCCTTTTTTTCTGGCTTTTCATTTCGAGGCGCTTATTTACGCGATGTATTTTTTTCTCACTGTCACTGCGCTAATTCGAAGCACGTCCGATTTGACCGAAACAAAACCACCAGTTCACGCTACTCAACTAAATCAATTAATGAGGGCCGAATGAAATAGTAGCTTACTTGTGGCTCGTGCATCTTCGTAGAACGTGGCAATTTAGCAGCAGCGAAATCGATTTAACTCGCTCGCTCTTCTCGGTCATCGCTCTTAATTAACCGCGCGTATAAGTTCGAGGGTATGCATGCGCATATATCATGTATGCGCGTAACGAATGTTTCTTTCATATATCATATGGATGCATATTCTCGGAACAGGAATAATCGCGATATGAAGACAGAAATTGTAATTGCGATTGTAATTTGCGGTGGATTAATCTCGTCTACGCATATATCGAGCTGATCCCGATATGCTAACAATGCTACAGTTATTTCAGCAAATATTGAAGTTCTAGTAAATAATTCTAACTGTTAACTGTTAATTCTAACTCTCCAATTGTAACCAATTGTATATTATACATAGATTTTATAACTCGCAGAAATATTATAGATAATAAATATATAGATTGACACACACAAAAGAACGTGTGTTAGATATTTCTTAATAATATTGAAATAAAAACAGGATTTCTTTAATATCCATATATATCGATTCATCTTTTTCAATTCTTCGATTACAGAAAACTGATTGTTATATAAATTGAGATGTATATTCGCTATCTCGCCTGATGCGTTTTACGTCAGTGCGAAAACAACGGCGCAATTTTTCGCCGATTCGCCGCGTTTTTTCATTCAATATGTCTATACAGCATTCGCCGGATGTAATTTCATCAAAAATATGCGAAAAACTCTGATATTCGCAGGGTACAAGAAAAACACTGACCAAGGAATTAATATGGGCTATAGACGCCGACACCCCGTCGGAAATGCTGATTTATACAGTTTTACGAGCGGATACCGACGCTGGACACGTCGAGAGAGTTACTTATCCGTTTCGACCTATCGACACATTTACGCAGGCTGAATTAATGCAAGGTCTCATTGCCTACGTGCATCGTGGAAACGGTAATGACTCATCATTATAATCGCTCAAGGCGCATTGTATCTTTTAAGCATAGCATATTTATTTGTCTTTTTGTTTCGTTTTTACATTCGCAGGGTACAAGAAAAACACTGACCAAGGAATTAATATGGGCTATAGACGCCGACACCCCGTCGGAAATGCTGATTTATACAGTTTTACGAGCGGATACCGACGCTGGACACGTCGAGAGAGTTACTTATCCGTTTCGACCTATCGACACATTTACGCAGGCTGAATTAATGCAAGGTCTCATTGCCTACGTGCATCGTGGAAACGGTAATGGCTCATCATCGCTCAAGGCGCATTGTATCTTTTAAGCATAGCATATTTATTTGTCTTTTTGTTTCGTTTTTACACGATTAATTTTTAGTTTTAATATACACGTAAAGACACGATAATATACTAATGTCATATTTTATCAAAAATTTTTGTCGATCTAATATATTTAATCTTTCAGCTAAAACGAACGCGATGTTGAGCTTACAAGTGAGCGACGGCATCGAGAGCAGTCAACCCGCGTACCTGCGCGTATCGGCTTACCCATTGCAAATTAAATTGACACACAATACCGGTCTCGTCGTAGTGCACCGTTCGTTCTCTTACCTGACACCCGCAAATCTATCGTTCGCCACGAATTCGGATGACAATACGATCGATATCCGTTACGATATTATCTCACCGCCACATTATGGTGTTTTACAAAAATTGAGGGATATCTCTAACAGCTGGATGAACGTCGAACATTTTACAAACCGGGACATGGAATTGAACACTGTTCGTTATCTTCATAACGTCGGTAGCCCTAATCAGGACGAGTTTAAATTCCAAGCGAGCGTGCGCGAAGTGAAGACGCAGCAGATGTACGACTTCCGTATTACCTTCATCGATCTTGAGCTGAAGGAGACCAGAAGGATGCCTGTTAATCTCACGGACATATCGAACGTCATTATCACGAGCAATCACTTGAGATACCAGACGAATCCACTAGTTACATCGCCGAGTAAGATCGTCTTTACTCTTACAATGGGACCAAGATACGGCGATCTATTTCTGTCCGATCGTAAACTCGTGCCAGCTAGTACCTTCACGCAGGAAGACATCGAGGCCAGCAGATTAAACTACCGTCTATTCAAACGATCTTATTCTAATATCTTCGACGAAATAATGTTCAAGGTTAATGCACCTCAGTGCGTCGACATACACGCCAACTTGAAATTCCGATATTATCTTGGCAAGAACAGCAAATCGCTGGAGGGCGTGGAAAATTTGAAAGTTGACGAGGGCTCGAAAATGCCTCTGAAGATCACACATGTGAATCCGAAGGAATATGATGTATCCTCTTTGATGTACAATCTTACAATAAAACCAAATCATGGTTGGCTCTCCATCGCAAATAGCTCGAGATCGCAAGGACAAAAGAATGTCTCATCTTTTACATTCGAAGATGTGTTGAATCAAACAGTATATTATGTGCACGATGATTCCGAGACGAAAGAGGACTCCTTTGAGTTTGTGGCAGTATCTCTGGATTCCGTGGACTTCATGTACGTTGGAAAGTTCCGAATTGAAATTATTATGAAAAACGATAATCCACCGGAACGAACAGTTAATAGAATTTTTCATGTTGTATCAAAAGGCGAAAAATTGATAACGAACAAGGATCTCGCTTACATAGACAAAGATGTTGGTACTCGAACAAGCGAACTTATTTATAATAGAAGAGATACCCGGAAAAGCGGAATATATAGAGTGACTAATCCTTCGGTACAGATACGCGACTTTTCGCAACAGGACATCGACAACGGTATTATACTCTTTCGGCACCAAGGGGATGAACGCGAAAAAGTTGAATTCGGTATCACCGACGGTCACTTTTACAAAATCGGCGCTCTTGAAATTCAAGCCAGTCCACCCTATATCAAATTGCGTGAGAGCAACGGTTTGGTTGTCCAATTTAACAAATCCGTGGTGCTCCAGTCGAAAGAACTTGAGATAGAAACAAACGTATATTGCACAGAAAAAGACATCAAGTACACTGTATGGGAGAGGCCGAAGCATGGTATATTGCTGAAGCATAATAGAGAGTCGAATACTTTTACAGAGGATGATTTAAAGCATGGTATTGTGTCATACAAGCATCTAGGTAGTTCCATGACAAAGGACGTCTTCAGATTTAAGGTGTTTGTTAAGAGTGCAGAGGCTGAAGGTGTGTTTGTGATCAATGTCTATCCGGAGAGTTATTGGGAGTCGTTGGTCATCCAAAATAACGAGACGATATTCGTCGAGGAGGCTACGAGCATCCTGCTAAGTCGGAAGAGTCTCGAGATAATGCATCCTAAAATATCATCGACCGAAATTGTCTATTTCGTGCGAGAGTGGCCGCAGAATGGCTACCTAGATTTGCAGATCCACGACGAGCACAGCGAGGAGATGAGGGAGGAGTACAGCGGCAACGCGGTAAAACATTTCGAGCAGAGTCTGATAAACGACGGTCGCGTCTTTTACGTTCAATCGGTGATTAATCAAACGAGCGATCGTTTCGTTATAGATGTTACCAATGGTATCACGTGGTTACGAGGTCTGAGCGTGAACTTTGTGATCGTGCCGGAAAAACTCTATATCGAGGCGAAGAGCTTCACCGTTGTAGAAGGGAAGAGC